TTGTTGGAAAGATTCCATTGTCTGGGATCTTGTCAGCAGGTCTGGGCCACTTGTGAGTGTTTAGTGGGCCTGGGTTAAATAAGCCAGATAGTCCCAGAAAATGGGCAAGATGGAATAGTGGCATAGGATGAACAGCTCAGGAGGAGGTGAGAATCCTCACTGTTAAAGTAGGTTAGCATTTCTGAGACCCCAGGCCTGCACTGCATCTATGCTGTACCTTTCGAATCCCTGGGGCTTGTTCTGTTTGGTGCTGGCCCGTTGGCATGTTACTTTGCAGAGTCTTCCCCTGGGACTGGAGGATATTAGAGGAAGAGTTCTGTTCCCACCCACACTAATCCGTTCATCATTCTGCACGCTCACCCTGGGCACCAGCCCAGCTTGACACATCTTCCCCTTGTCATAACACTGTTTTGTCCTAACGCCCCTTCCTCACAGGGCCTCCCATGGAGACTTTGCCTAAATATTGGCAGGGTCCTGGCTCTTTTTCCTGTGATCAGAGGCTCATTGCTGGGAACTGAGCCTGTGTTTTTGCATACAAAATAATATTTTCCTTATCTTCTTGAAAAAAAAGTCAGCACATACCAGACACAGGAGGTGGTCATAAAGGCTATTTGTCTCTCTTTTCCAAGTTCAGAGACTGCCCTGGCTTTCTTTCTGGAGACCGCACTGATGCCGGAGGGTCACAGAAAGCCCGGGGACCTGAAAACAATGACTGCCTTTGGGTTTTGGCCTCTGCTCTTTCTCCTCTGTGCTCTCTTATTCACTCTCATATGTGAACAGGAGTTTGGGTCTCTTTAAAGAGGCTTCTCAGGGCCAAGCCCTAGGTCCTCATAGCCCCTGGAAGCAGGTTCCTCGCCTCCCTCTCCTCCGTCTGCCCTTGTTCAGGACCAGGGGGTCCCTCGCCTGTTGTTTGGAAGCCATACTGAGTCTCCTTATCTTTAGGCTCTTTTCCCTCAGTTTACTCTCTGCAGTAAAGATTGATTTTGAAAGATCACGTCTCTCCTTGGTCCAAAATCCTCAAATTCCCAAAACCATGCTGAGCATCCCAGTCAGGACTTCCTGAAGGTGTTCTTCTTTCTCCTGATTTCTCTGGCTTTCCAAGGACAATGAGCCACTCAGTTTTCCCCAAATATTCACTACCCTTTCATCTCCCTGCTCTTTCACATACTATTGTCTGGGGCTGGGATGCTTTCTTCTTCAGTTTGCAAAGTAAAAGAACACGGTTCTTTCCAGGAAAACACTAATGCAGGATGTCTTAGTGATGGTACTACTGCTGAGTCAGAGAAGTTCTGGATCTAGAGCCAGAGCAGGAGGGTGTCTGCCTCACCCCTGCCTCCCACCAGATGTGTGACCTGAGTTGAACACCCAAGCTTGAGAAATACTCCACAGTGTTATTGATTATTTCCCTTAGAACTATTCATATTGATCTAATTTAGTTTCCAAATTTTTCCCTGTATGTTAATTCATCTGATTGCACAACCCTCAGACAAGGGTAGGGCAAAGATTTTTCTTCCAGTTTGTAGATGGGAAAATTAAGTGAATAAGGAAGTCAACCAATGCTTGGATTACAACCTAAGTCTCTTGATTTCAAGACTCACTCTAGACCCAGATTGGCTACTCTTTCTTCTGCAAGAGAGGTATAGATTTTCCTTCCCTGATTCTTGCTTACCTTTACTTGAAGGACCTCATGGTGGTGCTGATTCTTTGATTCTGGCACCTGGTAATATGTTTAATTCATGGCAGAAGGAAAGTACATACTCCAATTCAGAATAGGCTATACTCATCAACCTGGTGCCATAGTCTCTGAACCAAACAATTGAACACATGATCTGAAAAAAAAAAAGTTTTTCTATTCTAGATATGGATGACAATCAAGAAATGTAACTTGGATATTGAAAGATTGTCTTCCTGGAATATTTTGATAACTTATAGGAACAACAGAACAAGGTATTTCATCAGAACTGACCTGAGAAGCCTAAGAAGTGCTTTGGTATCAATGATTTGATTTTCCCATTATAATCTCTCTCTCTCTCTCTCTTCATGGTACAGGGATCCTAATTGGATACAGAGAACTGTTGATAAATGACAATGCAACTCACCAGAACCATCAGTCCATGAAAAACATACAAGCCAAACAGGATGCCTTGACGCAATACAGATGTTTATTGGAACAAACGTGCAGTTACAGCTACACATGTTGTAGAGCAACAGTTTCTGTTTCCAATGAAATTGGGCATGATCATTATTGCTAACAACAACATTCGCGGTACAGAATCATAGCTTCAGATATACTAACTATTCTCTGGGAGGTGAATTGTGGTTGCATAGAAGAGAGACCTTTCTAAGAGATAAAACTGCATTTTGAAGTTGAAATTGGCTATATGTGGAGGTAGCTAGTGTCACATCTTTAGATATGCTCAAGAATGAGGTCATAGGGTTAGACAATATGGTCCTAACAGACCCTCCAGCCCTCTGCTTCTACAACCCTGAGACATTTGGGTTTCTTGGACCTTAGCATCAGTGCAGGGGCTGGTGTATCTAGTAAATGCTCATAGATCAAGGGTAAGGTAAAGTCCAGCAACACATCTAGACATCCCTTAGATAAAGATGAAGTTGCAATTAGAATAAATAAGATAAACTGGTCCAGCCAGAAATTGGCATTTGTACACAAATTTTGAGGCTGCTTCAAGTCCCAGAATCGTTTGAATTTAAGGGAAAAGTTTCTTCTAGATATTGACTCTGATTCCAGAGTCAGAGCACTGGTCTGTGGGACACGTCATTTTTATGAGAGAAGAATGGATATGTGCTCTTGTTGTTGTGTCTAGAAGCCCTCCTTTTGTCTTAGCTGTAGAAATGCACACCTTCTTCAAGGTGCAGCTCCAACACCGTCTCCTCTGAGCTGCTTTTCCGATGTCCCCTCCTCCAATGCCTGCATACAGGAATGGCCTGTCCCCCTGTGCTGTTCTGACACACAGCACTTGGTCAGGTTCATTCTGTCATGGTGGATACTTGTGGAGGTGTCAGTTCTTCCTGCAGGAGCTCCTGGAAAGCATGAATCATGTTCCCTTCATCATGGTGGTACCCATAGCAGTCATGACAGCCTGGCACGGGGCGGGGGGCACTCAGGCAGTGCTGTGAAATGAGCAGTCATGATGTTTGGAATGCTTTAGGGTCGTTCCAAAACTTTGCATTGTGATTCTTCTTTGGTGTCTAAAATAGAGCTCCAGTTTGCTTGACAAATGTCTGGTGGGATTGAGTATGAAGGCCACCTTCTGCGTACAGAACAACCAGCAGGGTGCAGAGAGGTAGAATGACCTGCTCAGAGAATCAAAAGCAGGCTGTAAGTTGCTGTCCCTGAGTAGTCAGCCTCAGGCTTAGTGTTCATAAGTTCTCATTCCTCGGTATCTTCTTTCGGCAAGAGACCTTGAATGACTCCGGCAGCTGCAGTGCCGGTCAAGAACTGAAATCTCCCATGAAGACCAATTTTGGAACAGAATTGAAGACAGAACAGAAGACAGGACTTGGGGCTTCTGATCCCTTGTAGGGCTCACCTCTCAGAGTTCTGGAGGGGACAAGGACCCTGGAATCTTCCTGAGAGAGAAGGCGGCTCCTGAAGGGAAGAGGCATTCTGCTCGGGAAGAACACCCCAGGGCTGGGGTGTTCTGGTTGAGGAACAGGGGTGAGGAATCAGGGGAACGGTGCTTGGGGTCAGCTGTGGACACAGGGAGGGAGAGTAACGGGCCTGAGTCTGGCCTCCCAGGGCCTACCTCATGCCAGGTTCCCAGGAAGAAAAGGAGGTGGTTACCTAGAACAGAGACTCTGCTTAGGAATAAGAAAAGGCCCCTAGGCTTGCACTCTGCCTGGGCTACATCCTGGGGAGCTAGGGTGTGGTGCATGGGGTGGGTGTTGCAGTAGCAGCAGGATTTGGTCTGCATCAAAGCTCTATGGGTTCTGGTGGCTCAAGTGGTAAAGAATCTGCCTGCAATGCAGGAGACCCGGTTCGATTCCCGGGTCAGGAAGATCCCTTGGAGAAGGGAATGGCTACCCACTCCAGTATTCTTGCCTGGAGCATCCCATAGACAGAGGAGCTTGGTGGCTACAGCCCATAGGGTCACGACGAGTTGGACATGACTGAGCGACTAACACTTTCACTTCAAAGCTCTATTGGGCCTTTTTGACCTTTTGGTAATTTTGGCTTTAACTCATCTCATCAGGGAGAAATGGCTTTGTTGGATCCTTGACTGTCAGAGCTGTGAGGGTCTTTGCTGGGATGAGGGGAAGGGACTTGCGTAGAGTCACAGGGAGATGGGGGCAGAGCTGGTTCCCAGTCTCCCCATCCCTGTCTCTACTTCTCTCAGGCACTATCACAGTTCGGTATCCAGCCCAGTCCTAAGTGCATCACTATGGGACCTGCAGAGACTAAGCCTGTCTCTTTCACCTTTTCACGGAGAGAGGTGGGAACTGGGGCTGGGAAATGCGTGGCAGCAAAGAAGCATAGAGCATTTGGGGGCAGGCAAAGGCGATGGTCAAGGTTGAGGAACAGGTACAAACTTGATCAACCCTAAGGCCCAGCCGGGATTTATAAGCAAACGCAGTGTGCCTGGTAGACACACTGGCCTTCCACTAAGTCACATTTATTGAGCACTTAGTTTATACCTGCACTGTGCTAAGTGCTATGAAATAAATTTGGTCTTCATCATACTTTTCTGAGGAGATAAGGCAGGCCGTGTCCATCATATGGATGAAGAAACTGAGGCTCAAAGAGGTGAAGTCACCTGCCCAGTGTCACAAAGCTAGTAGGTGATATAATCTGAGTTCTGATCACTTTGCTACTCTGCTTCTTAAAGGAGAGTGAGAAGATGGCTGAGATGTCCCCTTAATTGGCCAGTAATAGGTGGGCTGAATGAGACGCGTGTAGGGTGAGGGACGTCTGGCATCAGATAATTGTCCTCTGTTGCTGACTGACCATGACGGGCGAGGCGGAGGGTGAGGAACTGAACTCAATTGCTCACGCCGGTGACCGTCTGGATCCAGGCCTTGTTGTGGAAGATGTCCGAATACACTCCGTAGCGGTCCTTCTTTCCGCAGTCCACGCCCCAGGACACTGTGCCCACCAGGTACCACTGGCCTCTCTTTCTATCCAGTGTCACCATGGGCCCTCCAGAGTCACCCGCACAGGCATCCCTGCCCCCTAGAGGAAGAAGTGACGCGGGTTAAAGTGTCTCTTTCCCTAGACCCAAGTCCAGAGGACCCTCCCTCTCCCTACAACTGACGTGTAGTTCAGAGAATTGGACACCAGGGGGCGCAGCAGACCGTTGGACTCAAACTTGGGCTCTGAGCTGTTCTTTGTCAGGCCTGCTCCTGCCTCGGTGATTTTAGAAAGCGTAGGTTCAGGACTCTCGGTTACCTAGTGGGAAAGCTGGGCTGGGAGAAGGGAAGTATGGAAATACCTCACTTGGCACACTTTCCGCTGATGTAACTTTCCTCTCATGATCTTCCTCGCCGTCCCCTGCCTCATTCCTCCCCTTCCTCCGCTGTTCAACCTGCCAGCTCCAAGGTCTGCAGAGCTGCAATTGCTGGGCCGGGTGCCCCACCCTGGCTGGTGGCGCCCTGCTGTAGGCAGGCCTCTTGACTCACCTTCCTTCTCCCCAGCACAGATCATGTCTCTGGTCACTTTTTTCTTCAGTAGAGCATAGGCCTCCCGACAGATGTGGTAATCAACAATTGGGATTTCGATCTGGAACACAAGGCCATTGTCAGTTCCCAAATTCTGACACCCCATCTCCCTCTCTGTCCCCTCCCTGGACAAACCTGGGTCTGCCTTAGACCTCGCCTCAGAAATTGCCCTGTAGTACAGGTGAAGGGACACTGAATGCAGAACCAGGAGATCTGTGTTCTGGTACAGTCTTAGGTCATGAACTTGCTGTGTGACCTTGCACATGTCATCTGCCCCCTCTGGACCTCAGTTTTCTCATCTGTCAAATGGAGATAATATTGCTTAGCATATGCATTATTTCAAACACGTCAGCATATGCAAAACCTTCTTATGTAAACATGTCAGCACATGCAAAACCTTCTTTTCCCCACCCTTATCATTACTGGTTATGAGATGTGGGACATGTAGCCTTCATCAGTGTTTTTTCAGATTTCTGAGACTGTTTCCTCATCTGAAAAATGGAAATCATAATATTTGACATACTAATCACATAGAGTTGTTATAAAAAGAGGAGATGAATGAGCAGATGCTCTGTAAACTACAAACACCGCATACACAGCAAGTGGTGTAGGCTTCCCAGGTGGCGCAGTAGTAAGGAATCTGTCTGCCAATGCAGGAGGCGCAAGAGATGCAGTTTCAATCTCTGGGTTGGGAAGATTCCCTGGAGTAGGAAATGGCAACCAACTCCAGTATTCTTGCCTAGAAAATTCCCTGGACAGTGGAGTCCATAGGGATCACAAAAAGTCAGACATGACTGAGCACGCACGCACTCACCTAGAGGTTAGCGAGGCTCACCTTGCAGCAAGCTTCACTTATGCTCTCCCTCACCATGGTTTGAGTTTCCATACGCTCAGTCTGTATGTTGCCCGTTTCTATCTTATAAAGCTTGGAACATGGTCAGTACTCAGGAAATGTTATGTTGAATTGAGGTGATACATGGATACATAAAGGTAAGGTATTGTGTTTATTATTGGCCTTGATTCAGCTTGGAGGTATATGTTGGAGTGGGTGTCTAGAATAAAAACAGGAATCATATGAGTCTCATTCAGCCAAACCAAGAACGGAATGAGTCAAATCTCCCACAAAGCACAAGTCCTATTGGCCCTTACTGGGAGGGGACCAGAGGTATCCACGTCCCTTTGGGGCATGGTCTTCTCAGAGAGGTGGGGGAGGCAGGGTGGAGTCAGGCAGGGTGGTATGAGCACCTGTCCTCAGCAAACCATCAAGTGTCTGACTAACCTCTATCCATCACTCATATATCGCTTAATTGTCACTTCCTCTGGCCTTATGCACTCCTAAGACAAGGTCAGAGTCCCAGTTATACATTCTGAAGCATCCTGCACCTCTTCCTCATTCCGATGATCACATTGATGAATACTTTACTTTCTGTCTGTCCCACTTGACCATAATCCGAGAAGACAAGGGGCCAGATCTGTCCTCTTATCCCCCTGCATACTTAGTAGTTAATATAATACAGAGTAGTTAATACAATGTCAGTTGTGTCCAACTCTTTGTGACCCCTTGGACTGTAGCCTGCCAGGCTCTTCTGTCCATGGAATTCTCCAGGCAAGAATACTGGAGTGGGTTACCATTTCCTTCTTCAGGGGATCTTCCCAACCCAGGGATTGAACCCACATCTGCTATGTCTCCTGCATTGGCAGGTGAGCTCTTTACCACTAGTGTCCCCTGGGAAGAGGCACTGAATAAACACTCAAGAGTGAATGATTGAAGGGGTAAATGGTTGTTGCAAACCCCAAATTTTAAAGTGTGTTAAAATAATGTACATTGAACGGTTTAGAAACTAGCTGTGGCTCTTGTAGAACCTGGTAATGTCCAAGCCAGACAGCTCTTGGAGGACATCTAGTGTTGCTGGTGACTTTGCAGCTTGAGACACTACACTGCAGTCTAGAGAGGCAAGATGACTTGTTTAAGATCACCCAGTAGGTTACTAGGAGCTGGGACTTGGGGGTGTGGCTCCTTACTCCTGGTTCAGTGTTCTTTTCTGAAATGACAAGAAATGTAAACTTTCAAATGCCATAGTCAGGTTCATTGCTGCAAGGACTGTGGCTCTCAGGGCCCATCCCTTGATCCATTCTTGGTTACTGCTATGTGAGTCTTCCTGATGTTTACAGGTGGATCACCTTTTAGGGTATCCAAGCCTACTGTTTTCTGGAAGAATTTCCATAAATTGAGCCTTTAATAAGCTACAGAAATACTGAACAATGTTTACAGACTAGAGTCCTATGACATGTAGAACAAATAGATCAAACTAGTTGGGATTCAATCTCACTTAACTTTGAAGGTGAGTCTGGTCCCTTTGTACCTGTCTCACTCATCCCCAGTCCAAACCTCCAAACCCCTGAGAGACACTGGGGCTCAGAAAGGTCCAATGTGGGGCACAAGTGCCACCCTCTGAAGGGTATATATTGAACTTCACCTCCATCAGGGTCTCTGGGAACCTTTGCAAGAACTGCTTTCCCCAACCACTGACGATGACCATGGCGCCTGGAAGAGAGAAGACACAGTGAGAGCGGAGAGGCTGTCTGTGGGTTTTTGGAGGGTGGCACCTTGCTGCCCCCTCATCCTCTGCATGTGGAGGAAGCACTGAGTTTTCCCCCTGAGAAAATGGCAGCATGGTGGGGGGGAAGACTTGGGCTGGAGCTCACCTGAGACAGTGGGTTTGGGAATTTGTTTCTATGAGATGTTAGCTGGTTTATGTGTTTAGTTGACTGTTCTCTCCCACTCCCAACTAGTTTGGAACCTCGGCCCTGTGAGAGCAGTAATCTCATCTGCCTTATTCAGGGCTGTATCCTTATGCCTACAGCAGGGCTGACACATGGTAGATGCTCGATCAATAACTGAATAAATACAGAGTCCAGCCTAGCCCTTAATACACTGTGCTCCCTCCGCTTCTGAGGCTTAGTTTTCTCATCCATAAAATGAAAAGGTCAGACTTGGTACCTCTAAAACCCCTCCTGGCTCTGATGTTCTAGAAGTCTGTAAGGTTGGCAAATCTTGAGGCAATGTGGAAATGGGCTGGGCACCAGCAGAGTACTTACTTGTTTCATCATTTGGAAAGAGCCTGGATACTGAAAACAGCTCTGGGCCTTAAGTTGGAAGATCTGAATTCCAGCCCCAGATCTACTTCTTACAAGCTGAATGTTGGGTAAATCACTTCCCTTCGCCAAGCCTCAGTTTTCTCATCTGGAAAATGGGACTACAATACTATTTCACAAGGCTTTTATAAGTAGCACATAAATTAATTAATGTAAATCAAGTGGTACATGGCAGGCACATGGTATCTGATGCACAGAGCCATACCTGGGCCTTTCCTGGGGGCTCACTTCCCCTCAATACTTCTCATATTCCATTCAGCCATTTAAAAAAAAATAACTTCATTGAATTAAAGAAGGTTAGCTGTGACACAGCACCACTGAATTTAGAACAGGATGAAACAAAAACCAACTTCCCCAAGTTGGACTCTCACTCTATGCTGAATATGTTTGATTATTATTTCACTTAAACATCACAACCACCCATTGGGCATTATTCCTCGTGTAAAGGGAAGGGGCTTGAAGTTAGGCAACTTCTTCAAGGTTGTCCAACTCGGAAATGGCAGCATGGAGAGTTGAGCCTGTGCTAGCGATTAAGCTATTGTCTCTCAGCTCCAGACGTACCCTTTTATACTTTGCTTTGTGATGCTGTGAATGAGACTCTGAAATGGCAGATCCATTTTGTGAGGAACATTCCTGAAAACAGGGGGCACTTCCAGGAAGGCTTGCTATTCTTGATGGCATCACCTTAGTGATGGTTCCTCACCCCACCAGTGGTGGTTGTTTCCCTAGCACCATCAGCACAGGGCCTCATCTGCAGAGTCTGAGCTCCTACTTCACAGAGCCCCTGTCTAAGCTTCCAGGTTCTGTAAGTCCAACCTCTTCCTTTTGTTCCTGCAGCCCCAGGAGTGGTATAGTTCCTCCCTGCAAGTGCTATCTCTCTGATCTCAGCATCCGGCTTTACTCCTCCAGCCCTGTAATACCCTATATTAAATTCTTTTTGTTACAGTAACTAGTCTGGTTTCTGTTTCCTATCTGGACCCTGACGGATACAGGCTTGCAATACTGACCAAGCGTGCCTGCTTTTGTGCACCACCTTGAAGCCTGCTTTGATTTAGCTGTTTTAGGGAAGGAGGCTGAGGAATCAGGCAGACACAGTCAGCTGGCTCAGCTGGCACTGAAGCCTGGCCAGCGCTGGAGTAAAAGCCTCCATGGAGGCTCTGCCAGGTGGAATCACAGGTGGGTGTGGTACCTTCCTCCAGTGGCTCCTGGGGTAGACAGATGGGCATCACAAAGTCATTGAGCACCGGGCCCCTCGACAGCTCCACCAGAGCGACATCATTCTCGTACGTGTTGGCGTTATACAGGGGATGGAGGAAGACTTGTTTGACGCTGAGACTCTGTTCATTCTCATCTGACTGGGTCCTCCGAAGCTTGCCTGGACAAGAAGAAGGCATGTGAGGCATGAGGGCAGCGGAAGCTTGGAGGATAAAGTCACAGCTTGTTCCCTGTCCCATCCAGCCCATGTTTCCAGCCTTAACCCTTACACTGCCTTTCACTTACCTGTTCTAAGCCATCCCTCCCCATTTGCCTTTCCTCACATTTTCTCCTGGGCTCGAACCTCTGTCTTTCTTCATAATCTGATCTGATCCCATCGCCTTGTAATACTCATTCCAGTGCCCGTTGCCATATGTCCAAACCATAATCACCCTTCCGTGCCCGGGTCACGTGTTGCCTCCTCCATGAAACCTCGGAGATCCTTGAGTTAGATGCTTCGGTTAGGAGTCTATTCCCTATGAACTTCCCCTGTTCCTCTCCTACAGAATTTACTGCTTCCTGCGTTTCATTAGAGGGCTTTGTGCTCATATTTTATTCCTTTTTTAGACTGTAAGTCCTTGTAAACAGGAACTTGTGTCTTTAGATATGACGTAGTGTCAGGACATAAATATGCGGTTTACAAAGCCAGTTTACAAAGGAGAGGGGAAGCTTGGATTGTTTGTGTATGCATCACTTGAAACCACGAATTCATAGAAGCCTGAGGCATCTTTGGAAGTTATCCAGATGGGAGTCTTTATTATAAAATCTAAGGCCTCACCTTCAAAGATCTGCTCATGGTCCTACCACCCGAGAATCACTGCCTTAGGCTTAGACTGTGATCCAGGACTTCGGCAGGTCCCTGGACTCCTGTCCTAGCTTGTCCTTCATTCCTAGGCTCCCTCCCTAATGACTGAGTGAGTAGATACACCCCATCCCCAGAACCACAGCTGGCTTCAGGAATCAGCTAGGCTCACACTCACCCACGATGATTTTGAAGGCAGAGGGGCTGAGCAACTCCAAATGATGAAGAGTTACGTCCTCTGAATCCAGCACTTCATGGAGGCAGTGAGCCGCAGTCACAATCCATTTGGAGCCTGAGAACAGAATTGTGAACACACACTGTCCTCTTGGCCACATCTTGTGTCCCACTATCTCAAGCTGAGGACTTTCAGACCCCTCTCCAGGGCACCCCTCTCCCTTGCATTTCACAGGCCCAAGTCAGAAACTCATTGATCTTAATCTGAAGATGAGGGGTTGAATCTGTGATTTCATCTGCTTCCCCAACCAAGGTCAACACTGAACATTTTAAAAATGATTTCAGGTTTCCCTTAAACACATGGGGTTGGCAAGCTCCAGACAGCCCAAGGTGTTCACAGTCTTGCTCACGGGTTGCCCCTCAGGCCTTGTTCCTCAAGGTGTGGTCCCTGGACTAGCGGCATCAACCTCATCTGGGAGCTTCTTGGAAATGCAGACTCTCAGGCCCCCACACAGGTCTACTGAATCAGAATCTGTATTCAGCATTAAAATCTGAGAATCTTAAAAAGAACTTCAAGTAATTTCTAGGCATATTAAAACCACTACAATACTGTAAAGTAATTAGCCTCCAATTAATAAAAAAAAATTCTAGGCATATTAAAGTTTGAAAAGTATTATTGTACATAGTTCTTCTCAAATGTGAGTACACATTTGTAATAGAATCATGTGGGGAATTAAAAAAAAGAAATCCTACCAAAACAATGTCTGGGCTTGAGCCAGACCATCTAAGTCGTGGAGTGAGGCCCAGTACAAACACACTTTAAAACTGCCCTCAAAGTTCTGCTGTCACCAAGGTCCGGAACCACTGCTCTGATCCAAAACTCTCATTTTATAGATTTGGATTCTGAGGCCTGAGGGGAGCGGGGCTGTCTAGGGCAGCTCTGCAGGTGGGTGGCAGGACCAGGGCTGACCGTGGGTCTCCTGATGATCAGCCTGGCACATCTCTTGTATCTTGGCTCTTTTTCCCTTGACGGACACTTTCCTGCTCTTTGTTTAATATAGGATCAGGCCTTGGTTCTTCCCTAAGGTGAATCAGGTGACAAACCCATAAATAGCTGAGCGCAGAGACATACTGAGATGAGCCAAACAGAAAGAAAGGTGCCAGGGCTTTGGAGTGTGGGTATCATAGCAGAGTTCAGAGTTGAGGGCAGAGGTCCCTTTCTCTGCAGGTCCCTGGCCCTCTCGGGGGCAGCCATGTGCTCCGGCTACTGGCTTCTGGATAGTACCCTACAGACTATCCTCTTTCCCGTGGTGGTATTTTTGATCCCTGTCTGCAGCCAGGGGCTCCTGGCTAATTTTCCAAGCGGATAAAATGGAATGAGCTACCCAGATTAGAAAGCCTGCCATGGAGGGGGTCTGGGGAGAGCAATGATGAGCCCAAAGACATAGCTTCATCTCCCAGCTCTGCAGAGAGTGAGTCCCTGAGTCAGGACCCCTCTGCACAGGCTTCATGGTGGGCACTGAATGCGCAGGTTCCCGCTGTCTGTCCCTCAGCTCCTTCTTTGCTTCTTCTGGCCTCTCCTCCCTTTCCTTCCCTCTACAGAACTAGACAACAGGAGGAGGAGAGAGATTCTAGATGAGGAGGGCTATGGGCAAGGCTGAGGATATCTTGTAGCTTGGCTGAGGGTAGAGAACTGGGAACAAACATGCAGTAGACCCAGTGAGCACTGAACATCACTGAACTGAAACACCCAAGGCTTCAGAAATCTAATCTAACCCTTAAACCATGGGCACTTAATCCATCTCTTTTACATACAATACACTCTAACAAAATTGGAAGTGTCTTTGCTCGCTTCCACTCCCCCTCTCTGCTCCTCCCCTCTTTCTGCTTCTCTTCTGATGCTTTCTTCTCCTCTGGGTCCCTCCTGCTTGTCTGTGCCTTTCTTGATTCTCTCTCTGTCTCTCATTTCCTGCCCTACCAGTTTCTCTTTCTCTGTTTGGACTTGTTTTCTTTCATTTTGCCCTTCACCTCCCTTCGCTCCCCTCTCTAGGTCTCTCACATGCCCTCTTTCTCTGCTTCTGTCTCTGCCCTTCTAACCCCTCTCATTCTTGGTTCTGCCCCCTGCCTGCGCCCCACTGGGCTTCCCTGTAACCTGTGCTCACTCACTGTGACCCTTCGGGAGGCTCCTTAGTGAGAGAGCTCCTGTCTTTGTGTTTGTGGGAATATAAGGATCAGCCCCTCTGCCGGGTTACCGTTTCACATACCCCAGATGTCTAGGCTGCAGCCTCACCAGTGTTTGCACCTTCCCTCGGGGGCCCCTTGCTGGGGAGCTGTCCTCCCCCGAGTGCGCCATGGAGGAGGAGGCTGGGTCAGGGCGAGGCGAGGCGAGGCTAGCACCCCTAGAGCTGCCCAAGCAGAGGTGGACCCGTCCGCGCCTTCCTCCTCTGTGATGGGTCAGAGGGACTCTAGATTACTCTTAACTTTATTATGATGTCAGAGCTGGGATGGACCTTCGACCATCTGGGCTGAACTGTGGTAGGAAGAGCCATGAATCATTTCTTTCCTGCCTTTGCTGCCACACCCAGCCATGTTCAGTCCATTCCACAAGTCTGACAGTTCTCTTTCCCAATGGCTTTGAGTCAGAATCTGCCTTGTTTCCACCCCTCGTCCCTAGTCTTACTCTGAGGCTAATGACTTCCCTCCTCACTACTGCACTCTAGCCCCCTCACTGGACTCTTGGCTTCCAGATTAACCCTTCTTTCAATCCATGTTGTCTTGGGAGAGGACTTTTAAGAACATGATTATAAACCTGGAGTAGCATTCAGGACACATCTTGATTCCCAAGCATTGCATTCAAAGCTTTGTAAATCTCCCTTCCTTGACTCCTCTAGGGTGGGTTTCCTGGTTCTCCCTCGGCCCAGGGCCCAAGGCCCACCCTGACTTTGAGCTGCATGGAACTGCCTTGTGTTGTAGTCATGTTTAAGGGCCTGACCCTCTGACCCTTCTCAGTGCCAGAGCGTGGCCAGGGCTCAGGAGGCGTTGCCTGAATCAGGGAGCCAGCTGGAGCAGAACAAGTGTCTCCCCGCTCCAGCTAAGGGCTCTTTCTACCACATTGTGCTTCTGGGCCCTGCTGCTGGAGTGGAAGCTTCGAGGGTCAGGTCCCTTTCCTCCAGCCCACCCTCATCCTGGGTCCACCACCCCTTCCACCCCTCCTTACCTAGCAGGGAGCCCCCGCAGAAGGGCTGCCCGTCCGGGTGTGACAACATAGCAGTCCAGGGGGTGGTGCCCTTCTGGACAGGGCGTCCGTTAATGATCCTGGCCAACAGATTCCGGGGGAACGTGGGGGTCCCACACACTGCAGCCAGGGGGAGGAGGGCAGGTCACACTCTGGGTTCCAGCTTGCCCTTTGCAAGAGCGGCTAGCTCATCACTCTCTGTTAGGAATATCTGTTAGTTTTCATTTCCCGGCATCCACTGCCCCTTTCAGTAATTGCACCCCAAGTTTCCTCTGGGGTCCTCTCTTCCCCCATTTCTTGTCCCTTTAGCCTGAGTTGCAATGATCTTACCTCTGGTTCTAGGGGTGTGACCATGACCTGACTAATGAAAGCCTCTTACACTCTGGTCACAGTGATTGCTCAGAGATGGGAATGTAACCCTGGACAGGCCAGTAAGAGCCTGCCTTGGGAGTTTTGCTAGAAGGTCCTTCTCAGTTGGGGTTTCTAGACTATAAGCCCAGACCTGCCAACCATCACTTTATGGAAAGTTTGTAGAAAAAGTTTCAACAAACAAACACAAAGCCCACAAGAAAGCATCCTCCTCTCTATCTACTCCCTCTCTAAACATCTCTTCAGAACCGATTCTGGGCTCTGGATCCCCTCACTTCCAAACTCTTGGGGATCTGGTTTTGAGGATTTGTGCTCTTCTCCTCTATCTCGCATTCCTCCTTTGTCTATGCCTACAAAAAATGATCAAGACTTTTCATGCTAAAAATTGAATTTTCCACTTTCTCAGCTTCTCATTCATTCTATAGTCTCTCCCTGTCCTTTCTTTCATAGTCAAGCTTCTGGAAAGAAAATTGACACTCAGTATCCACATCTTTCCCTGTCCTTCGGAGGTGGACTGAAAAGAACAAAGAACCATAGTTTGCACAAACTTGGACATAAAGTGGCCATTTGACAGTCTAATAGATTTGTAATCATACATGGAGACAGAATATCTCCAGACCATAACTGGAACTTCAGTGGGGATATTTACATGTATAGGAGGACACTATTTCTGAAATTTTCTCTCATGTATTCTTCATTTCTAAGAATTCTCTCACCTTGTAGCTGCCCATTGTTAAAGCTGGAGCATCTGCTGTCTTAGGTGAGGCTAGATACAGCTTTGACTCATGAAAGAGCAAAACAGAAACCCAAGTCTGAAAATACAAACTCATTTGAAGAGTCAGACAAGAACAAGAGGTTTGTATTAATTGGTTTCAAAGAAGCCAGACCTGGAGAACTGGGCAAAGACGTCCCAGAGAGGTTGCCTCAGGAAAGAGATAAAAAAGATAGGAGAAGCTGGAGAGAGAAAGAGAGGAGGGAGACAATGAGAGGGAGAGGTAGGGAGAGAGCGAGGAAGAGAAAAGTGGGTAAGAAGGAAGAGGCTATGGAGGAGGAAGAGGAGGGGGATTAGGGACATGGAGCATAAAGGAAAGGGGAGGAAGGGTTAAGGACTTGAACATGAGCATAGGTCTGTTCCCTGGATCCTCTTTCGGAGTTGATGGTAGTTGATGGTCCTGGTGCCTGGAAGTGTCCTCTGGACTGTCCCAGCTCATTTGCATTGTTGATCACTTTTTTCTTCTTGACACTTTCTCTCCTTGGCTTCTGAAGCTCTTTTCTTCCTGTGTTTCTGATTTCCCTTTTCTATCTCTTTCTTGGGGTTTTTCTTCTTCTCTCCATGCAATCCATGCTGGTGTTTCCCTTCTTTAGTCCTCGGCCCCCTCGTCTTTTCCTTTCCAGTGGATGATGCCACTTCTTCCCATGCCAACATACCACTTAGAGCCTGATGAATTTCAGATCAGTGTCTCTAATCTGCCTTCTCCTCTGGACTCCTCCTTTTTACATCTCCAGCTGGATTGCTCATAAACTCCTCAAACACAGCAAAACCAAGTCCTGGTCTCCATCCTTCACCACCCATCTCCCCTTTGTTATTCCAGATGTCTGTTAATGTCTGCACAGACAGTATCCTTGTTGCCTCCCTTTTCTTCAGCCACCATCTTTAATCAGCCACTGGTAAAAAAATCAACAGGAGAAGCAGAGAGTAATGACGCAGTGTGCCCTTCATGCAACCCCATGGCACCTCAGTGTCTCAATACATCAACAACATAAAGTCCAGCAGTCTAGAGGGTGTGATGGAACACAAGACTGATAATCTCTGAAACCAGTTACATATAAAGTGTAAGGTATAATGTAGGATTCTTTTAGTTCTCAATAGTGTAAAAAGCATGACAGTTTCAATATGATACAAACCCCAAACACAAACTATGAGCGTATGACATGGGAGCCCTCACTAACATATTAGCTTGTGTTACAGCACATCTCCTGTCTGCACTATTTCACACAATGCCTCTGCACCAAGTCTTACCCACTACACTACTTGAATGCTTTCAGACTCCACCCACACATCTGCAGTGTCACGCCCTTGGTCTGGTGGTTTTCACCACCTCTCTCCAGAATGGTTGCAGTGATTTCCCAATCACTCTCTCTAGGTTGGTTCCTCCCTCCATCCCCTCCACTTTCCACAGCCTGCTGCCCACACTCAGCCTACTGATTCAGAACTTCCCATGGGTGAGACCTAGGAACCTGTGTTCCTAATAAACACAAGTGATTCTGATATGCCCTAAATTAGGCAGTCACTGGCTATAGGACCGGGCACTAACACTGTATGACCTTCAAGACTGTCCACTCTCCCCTACGCCTCTGTTCCCATCCACTTGGGGCACACTTTCCTACTTGACCTTTGTCCCCTTTGCCCTGCCCTCCCATCTCCCAGTGTATTCTTTGTAACCTCTTTGAAAAGTTACCCAGACCCCCTTCAGCTGTGTGAACCTCCCCCTCCTTAAATTCTTGTAACACTTCGATCACTCCTCTCATGACATTCAACTCCGCTTGCCCGCATGAGACTTGGGTGCACACGATCTTGCTTCCTGCGCTTATCTGGGCACTTTGAACTCAAGGACGTAAACGGCAGGCACTTCTATGATGGAATAGGTAGCCTTTGAGAGGACACATGTCCATGCTGCTGCTGCTGCTGCTAAGTCGCTTCAGTCGTGTCCGACTTTGTGCGACCCCGTAGACGGCAGCCCACCAGGCTCCCCCGTTCCTGGGATTCTTCAGGCAAGAACACTGGAGTGGGTTGCCATTTCCTTCTCCAGTGCATGAAAGTGGAAAGTGAAAGTGAAGTCGCTGAGTTGTGCTCTTAGCGACCCCATGGACTGCAGCCCACCAGGCTCCTCTGCCCATGGGATTTTCCAGGCGAGAGTACTGGAGTGGGGTAACATTGCCTTCTCCTCACATGTCCATAACCAACTCCATTTCTCATCACCCTTTCTTGGATAATGTCCAGGTGACAAAAACTGTACACTTCCCACAGTGAGAAAGATTGTGGCTTAATGAAGGGTCAGATTTTCTTCAAAAGGTCAAAACAAACAAACATCAACAATAACTAAACCCCAAAACAAAGGCTGTTGGTTATCCACAGAGGATTTATTTTCATTTTAGTCCCCTGATGGAGGAAACAGTGCAGAGGCACCTTACAGAGGAGTGAAGCTTGTGATATAAATATACAAAGTACAGCATCTTCTATATGCACCGTTCATAGACACAGGAGTGTGCTGTCAGGACCCAACTGGAAAAGCGAATGCTTCCCAATTGATCTCTTGGAATCCTTCTCAAGGCTTCTGTCTCTGGTGGGGAGTCCCCAGGAGAGCAAAACCCGGGGAGAAGGAGAACAGTCAGGCTGAGGAGAGCCAGGGTGAGGTTGCTGGCATTGGAAGCAGTGAACGCTGGAGCTGGAAGGACCCTGAGGGGGATCCGGTGCCTTCCTTTTATAAATGGGGAAACTGAGGCCCAGGGAGGGAAAGCAATTTGTTAAAAGTTACAAGCCAGTTTGGGAGCAGAGCTGCAGCTTGAACCCAGGACTCTGGGCTCTCCATCTCCTCTTACGGCCTTTCTCGGGCAAGTCCCTGCTTCTCTTTACTTGGCTCCTGGAAGCTGGAGGAGTGGGTCTCTCAGAACATTCATGCCAGGTGGGTTCTCTGTAGAGCTCAGACTGCAGGCACGCCGTGGGGGGAAGGGGGTCTGGTGGGAGGAGGTCACTTGTATGTCCTGAGTCCTCTCTTCTTCCATTTCCCTGCCCAGAGGCACAGCAAGTATGGTGTGAGCCTTCTCTTTCTCCAAGCAATCGGGTCGCGTCTCCACATCTAGGGCTGGGGCTTGGGTAGCCCTTTCAGGTGACACATTTCAAGACTGGAAGGTTGCTTCCTGCTTGTTTGGAGAGTCAGGTGTGTGTACCCAGATAAGTGTTCTGAGTTGATGATAGGAATTTAATGGGATTGGAAAGTTTCCCACTGCTCTTCTCTTCCCCCTAGTCATCACAGAGTTTCCTAGCTTTCTCTTTGTCCTTTGAGATTCCTTTAACAGGGAACAGAAGGGATAAGGCTTGGACTGCAAGGAACTTTGGGGAGAGAAAACCCAGGGATGAAAGTGCTACAAGGCCTTATATTTAGAGAGAGGGGCCTCTGGGGTGTCATCCCAGTCTCCTCAAATCTAAGGGCTTTTCTGCTAGAAAAGGGTCTAGACCCAGAGGGCAGAGTGGGGAAAATATATGGACTCAGCTCGAGGCAAGGAAACATTTTCTAAGAGTCAAGGTCCAAGCTCAGTTACACCAACGGTGGGGCCACTGGATTTGGTGAACAACTAGGAGTGAATGAGGCCCCTGGGGTGGGCATTCCAGGAGAGGAGTTCAGGCACTGGCCCGAGTCTAGCTCCCTCCCCGTCCTGCGGGAGAGTGAGGCCCAGAGAGGGCAAGGGACTTGCGCCAGGGCCAGGGACCCAGGTTTCCTATGTAGGGCCTTTTCCGGTACCACACTGCTGCCTCTCAGGGACCCAGGAGCCATCTTGGGAGGGTGGGAGCCGTGTGTCCATCCCTTAGGCTTGCGTGTAGCAGTGGAGTGTGTTGTCATTAGGAGGGTGGGGTGCAGTCTTGCTGGGGCAGGGCGGTTGGCTGGCTGGAGCCCGGCAGCTCACCGCTCCACCTGCAGCTCCCCCAGGCCCTGCGGGGAACCCATCTGCTCCCACACCCAGTCCACGTAATTGGAGACCTTGGTGTAGACCCCATACACTTGCTTGCTGCCACATTCTTCAGGGCCTCCCCAGGACACTAGGCCTTGAGCCACCCAGCGCTGGCTGGCGTCGTCGAGGATGACAAAGGCGCCACCGCTGTCTCCTAGGCACGTGTCCTTGCCGCCCTCGTAGTAGCCGGCGCAGAACATGTTCTCGGTGACGCTGTAGTTGCCCGACCGGGACTCGTAGCTGGTCTTGCACTCGGCGTGGGGCACCACGGGTAGCTTGACATACTGCAGGACGTCTGACAAGGTCCGTGTCCCGCTGCCGATGATCTCGTCCACCGTCACGTTCGGGTTGGAGATGCCCCAGCCGGCTACCAGCCCCAGCACGTGGGGCGCCGGGCCTGCGGGCTCGGGCGGCGGCAGGCAGACGGGGAGGATGTGGGGCCCCAGGGGCACGGGCTCCCGCAGCTGCACCAGGGCGATGTCATGGTTGTAACTCTGGATGTTGAAGTCCGGGTGCAGCACCACTCGGGCGGCCGAGCTGTTGACAGCCCCGGATTTGTCCCGCACGTCGTGCAGGCCCAGGTGGACGGTGACGTGCTCCTTGGAGACCGGTGTCACGGTGTTGTCTCTGCGCTGGGAGCGCAGCACGTGGGCGGCCGTGAGGATCCAGGACTCGGAGAGCAGGGCCCCGCTCCCAAACCACTTGTCATTGGGCACCCTTGAGGTGTCCTCCACCACAATCAGGGCCTGCCACGGGAAGAGGCCGGGCTCGGCGTTGCGGCCCCCGATGATCCGCTTGACCAGGTTTGGCAGCGAGCGCGAGGGCTGACCGCACACTGTAAGAAGGAGGGGGCGGGACGAGAGGAGGAGACTGGTCAGGTCAGCCAGGTGAAAAGAGCCTCTTAAAGAAATGCACATCTCACCCACTGTAGATTATGCCACCGTGGACCCTGGCCTATGTCCGGGGGCCATGCTGGCCTGGGAAAGCTCTGAATGGGGTCATTTTTGGCCTAAGTCTTTCTAGCCTGACTCCTCTGGAGTCTGACCCTTCTGTAGCCAGGACCCTCTATGGACCAGACCAGGTTACTTGTGGGCCTTCACCATCCTGAACCCTTCCAGCCAAGACCACCTGTGGTCTGGATCATCTTTAACCAGGGCTATCTCCAGCAGCAGTCCCTTTGCCCCTTTCTTCTCTAGAAAAGGCATCTCAGAATCCAGATGTGGTCCATGCTGTGGGCACTTGGAAAACTTCTGAAAGCCACAGGTCAATGGCTTTGAGAGACAGGAGATTAAAAGACTGTCTAGCAGATCACAGCTAACACTGGAGTGGAAGATGAGACACTTGGGGTCTTGATCTTGCTTTTCTCCCTTCTGTCCTGTGTGACTCTGGTAAGTAAATTTCCTCCTCTGGATTTCACTTTTTGATCTGCTAGATGAGACTGTTGGTCAAAATGATCTTCGGGGATCCTTTAAATTACAAATTCCTTTTTTATTTCATTTGCCCTAGCCACTCTCACTTTATAGGTGAATAAAACTCTCCAGAGGGTAAGTGACTGACCCAAGTTCACATTGCAGTTAAGCTGGGTAGCAGGGGCTTAACTAGATTCTAAGATGAATGTCTATACTGTATTCCACAATGCCTCATTACATATGAAGAGCATGGTCTCATGCCCTGTAACCTTTTCTTCTCTGGCCTATGAGACACATGCTGTGAAGGGATGGCCAGGGCGTCCAAGCTTAGAGAAAGGTGGCATAATCTACAAGCAATGATGCATGGGCTCTGCTCTGAGCCATCCATCATTGCACCCGGGAACCCAGTAGTACCTTCAGGGAAAGAAGAAAGGTCTGATCAAACTTCGTTCCACCAAGTTGTACCCCGAGCATGCACATGCATCACCAGTCTCCTGCAGCCAAACGCCTTTGGCTCATGAGCAGAGGGTCTTCAGTACCAGCCCCCTGCTGGCTAAGAACAAGCGCACAAGGGCCCCTACCAGCAGAGTGCTTAGGTCTGGTGGGTAAGCCTGGTGTGAGCATGGACCTCCTCTTGGTTGCAAATTGTCAGGGCTACACCCCTTGGCCCCGGATACTTTCAGTAATCCTTTAAAGACCAAGGAACATTTGAGTTCTTGGCAACTTTGAGAGGTCAGGCTTCCAGCAACCTAATGCTTTTCAGATGCTTTTCTTCCGGATGTTTTATGTGCTCCTGAGGCACCCTGCCATTCACCCCAGGCCAGATGTGAGACGGGTTTTGCTAATTGGCTGTGGCCGAACATTTCAGAGTTGAAGGCCAGACTCCTAATTATAAGCAGCAGCATACGATGTGACTTCTCAAGGCCGGTCTGTGACTAGCCCTGTGCAGCAACTTGAGTGCCGAAAGACCCGCATCTGATGAGGGATATGCCTGTGGCTAAATCCGTGGTCAGAACAAAGCCAGCACTGAACGGTGCCTTTTGCCAACCAAGGTGCCAGTGGCATGCCCCAGGTCACAGAATGTCTCCAAGCTGGGGAAACTTGGAGAATGGTTAATTTACTGATGGCGAAATTGAGGTTCAGGGAATGCAAGAGGCATATTTAAAGTCATTAGTGACAGAGCCAGGAGTGGAGCCTGTTTCTTTGGATTCTAGCTTCATTTTTTCCACTAAAGTCTGTTTTTCTTCTTTATATGCTCTTGTCCTTTCAAGAGGTTGAATGATGCCACAAGCCTTTGAGAGTGCTCATTGAAATGGGGCCATTCTTTTTATCTGCTACCATTCTCCATCCAGTCTTTCCTGGGACAGAAGACTTGACTTGAAATACTAGAGCTTCAGCTGTGCTGAAATCAGGTTTGGGCTCTAGAAGACTGGAGGTACTGAGGGAGGGCCCTAAAAACAAAATTGTGATATTCTGGAATCCTGGGCTCCTGAGGATGGCAGAGTCAAGAATGGCTCAGCATTGCTTGTGTGGACATCAAAAGTCTTGAGTCCGCCTTCAAGTTTTGCCTCTAACTTTTTGTAGGTAACCTTGGTCAAATCGTTATACCTTCTTGATCCTTAGTTCTCTCAGTGTAAAATAAGGGGAAAATAATATTTGCTTAATAGTTTCCTTGGAAAGGTGGATATTATGATGCCAGATGAAATGGCTTTCTCTATTCTGGCTTGCCTCTGCATTCAATCTCAGTGTTTTAGAAGAGAATTTAGAATTCTCTGGCCTGGTCCAATGATACACCATGTTCTGCTCAAGACTAGATGTTACCAGAATTTCAAGACTCATTATATCCAATATGCTTTGTATGAATCTAGAGGATGATGACCATCAAGAGTCATAGAATGTCATGGATCACCTGATTCTGCTCCCCCACTTCTGAGGTATGAAATCCTAGCCCCAAAGAGGTCAGATGACTTACCAAAGATGGAGATCAGGAAAAGGCAACACCAGGACTAGGAGCTGGGCCCTTGACTCCCAGCACAGTGCCTCATCCCCCTCTAGACATCACGACAGGACTACCCAGGATGGAACCCACCTACACTGCCATTTTCTTTGGCCCACATAGCATTTGCAAAAGGGGGATCTGATCTCCAGTTTGCCACAGCTCTACCATTCCCCATCTTCTCCAAGGCTTCCCCAGTTGTGGCCCTTAGGTGTGCTCCTGGCTAAGCCTAACTGAGATGATGGGGGCCAGCAGAGTGTGGATGGGTTGACCTTTCCCTTCTTCCAGATCCTCACAAATTCTTTGAATTCTTGCTTAGATTGAAAGCACTCTTAAGTGAAGTCTTCCTGACCCATCCTCATTTCTCTGCTCCCAGACAACCGCATGTCTTCTTTCTTTGAGAGCTTATAGCAGCTGTGATGGCCCAAACTGATGCCCAAATGCTAAAACTTTCTTTAGGTCTCAAGGATAATGGTAGATGGCTCCATAGTCTTCCAATTTTAATGCCTAAATCTAGAAGTCTACTAGGTGAGTATTGAAGGTTACTAAAGTGCACCATTCAAATAATACACTATCTCAGTTTACCCAACACTCTAATTCAGTAAAAATATGAATGCCACGCAACCCTGAACCATATGGCAAAGCTACTGCTGTTGCAGCAAATGATGAAATCAACACTGCTTCTCTTGAATGATTATATCTTTCAATCACTATTGATTGAATCACTATTCTTATTTCTTTTTGAAGTGTAAATTTCTGTGTTGTGAATATTTAACTTTTGGTGGGTTATTTATTTAACCCTAGAGTGTGCATTTAGGGCTATAATATTCTAAGTCAATTTGAATATGTGCATACATCATGATTACGATGTAAATCATTCATACGTTTAATACCAATGCAAATATCCATAAAATATCCCCCCAATCTATATGCACAGGGACACTTCCTGTTACCACAAAACTCTTCGCTCATTTTAAAGTAGGGTCAGTAAGTAAGCTCAGGGAAGACAGCAGTCAGCAAGACTTGAGCATACTGCTCTTTGGAAGAACTTGTTGCTCTGTCCTGTGGTTATTTGGTGCTTGTCTGATTTCCACCTCCTCTACCACAGAGTGAGTGCTTGAGGAGCAGGTGCCCATTTTCTCACTTTTCCTGCTACACAGCCGATACAGATCCCAACTGTGGGAGATGAGAAGCCTGGCAGGAAGAGAGCAGAATGGCAGAGAGAGGAGGCAGGAAGTGTCCTGTTGTGATAGAACAGGTTGAACATAGAGGCTGGTTTGTTCGAGAAGATGTGAGGCTAGGCTTTTCTGGCCTTTGACCATCTTCAAAAGCAATCAAAGTATCATGCCCCCTACCCCTTACTCCATTAACAGCCAGAGTACCCGTGGACCCAGTGCCTTGCATGGGACCTTGAGGAAGAAAACTTAAGAGTGCGGTACCTGGCAGGCAGGTGGGCTGGCTTCTCCCCAGGACTTCATTCATCCAGACTCCTTGGGCAGAACAGGTATATACACCTGGGTGAGGGAAAAAAGGGTGAAGAAAAAGGAGAACATGGTTGACTCATAGCACATGGAAAATAGATCTGAGCTCTTAACTCCTCCACTGTGAATCACTGCAAGTCTTCCAAAGAGTCTTTCTGATGCTGTTCTCTCTGAGCCAGTCTGGTCTGCAGCTTGAAGCATCTTTCTAAAATGGGAATCTGATCTCGTCCTGTCTTTGCTCAAAATCACAGTAGCTCCCCATTGGCCTCCAAAATAAATGGCATGCTCTTCAGTATGGTGTCTGAGCCTCTGAGCAATCTGACCCCTGCCTGTGGGGGCCCCGCCTAGACTCTGGAGGGCACTTCTCATCATTAGTCACACAGCTCTGGGTGGCGCACTTGCCCTGCCCCTGCTTCCCCACTTAATAAACGCTTTCATAAACCACACTTGTGCCAACCATCTCATGAGGCTTACACTAGCTCTGTGAGTTCTGCCACTATTCCTCTTCAAAAGAGAGGACTTGGAGGCTCTGGGAAATTCAGAGCATTTTCTTGGTGCTCGTCTGTGGTGCAGGCAGAACTGATTGGCCTTCACATCTTTTTGAGGGTTCCTTCTCTGCGGGGTGCTGTGGGTGTGTCTGTGTGGGTATGTCATATAGGTCCCAGCAGTAGGTCATGCTGCTGAGGTGTCATGAAGCTTAACTCTCGGGCTGCAGGCCTGAGGCAGGGAGAGTGAAGACACACTTCCAAGGGTTTCTCCTCCTAGTTCCTCTCAGCCAGCGGACTGGCTGTATTAGCCCCCAGCCTAACCCTGAGCGCAAAGTGTGAGGAGCGAGTGGGCTGGGTAAGTATGCAAGGCTCACCTGTGATATTGTGTAGCATCTTGTAGTAGGGCCTCTGGCAGGAATATCTGATCTCAGACTTGTATGTGGTGAGGTTGTTCCTGGTAGAGAAGGTGACCACTCCGTTTTCCAGCTCTGCCGGGGTGCCACAGTCCGCAACTGAGAGGGAAGAGAGCAGACCCCTCAGTTGGCCTTGCCCCTTCTTCTTGGGGCCACTGGGTGGGTCTGTCTCATACGATGTGCAGGTTGTCCACTGCACACAGCTCCAGAGAGCAATGTTAGAGCCTTGCATTTGGGGATCTCTCCCATCTGTGATAGTCCTGCTGAGCGGTCAGCTCACCTGGTCTGGTGTCAATTCCAGGGCAGGGGCTGGTCTGCTGAGATTCAAGCAGATCCTAGACTTTTCCCCGCCAGGGCCCTCTCCTTGACTTCCAGTTCTATTGTGCAATCCTCTTATCCTCTTTTGTCCAAGTATGAAACCCATGGCTCAGTGAGAAAATTCTGGCTCATATAAACTAAAGAACCTCCACTTCTTCCAGCCCCAACCACATGCTGAGTAAGAGCAGTTACTGTGTTCACTTTGAAGCTTGGCATTTAAGAAAAAACAAAAACAAACAAAAACTCAGCTCCTGCACAGAGCACAGCCCCACCCTGCTGGCTCCCCACAGGCACAGATGGTAGGATGGGGGCGGTTCGGGTAAACCAAACTTTCATCTTCACCTGCATATTTTCTCTGGTTGTGGGTGGCTGCTCCTGGGGGCTGGCTGAAGGACAAAGATACCTGCTCCTCAGAGGTGGTCTTAGGAGAGCTTGCCAGTCCAGGCAAGTCTTGGGAGTTGCCAGCACGAGTCTGCCAGGAGCTAGGACGGGGGCTGAGGAGCCAATTTGTCAATATCTCTGCAAGGGCCTTGTTAGGGAGTGATGCTCATTTCTAAGGAAATCATAATCTTAGGTCAAACAGCCTTTGTCCGAACTGAAGAATCCCAGGGGGGCTCAGAACTTCCCAGGGGGAATGGAATCTGAAGTTAGGCAATCTAGAACATCAACTTTACTTACAGATGAGCCAGAGAGGAGACTTAACTGGTCTAAGATCACACAGTGAATTAGTCAGAGAACTAGACCTGATCTTAAACTCAGTGCTTTTTTTAAGTAAACCAGACTGACAGTTAATAGAATGTGTTTTCTAGTGAAAATGGCCTATAATCAATATTCTGGGTAAGGCTGGACATTAGCTGTCTGTTGTCAGAGGATCACATTCTAAAGCCAGTTTCCTTCCTCCTGAATTTTACCTGCTCACCTTGGAAAATAGAAACAGGGGCGATTTGCCGATGAGATGCTACTCAGAAATTGTGATTTTTAACTTTAGAATTCCAAATTTATCTTTTTTATTGAATAGAGTGTTATCTAGCTTAAAACATAGGTGATCTAAAAAGCCTCCACCATGGAGGAGAGGGATGAAGGATGGGAGTAAATGCAGGTAGGTACTTCCTATCCACAAGAAAGGTAAACACACCCAGAGAACTGGTTAGTGGTGTTTCCTGGCCTCCAATCCCCCTGGATGAATCACTCCCATCTGTTTCAATCACCCAAAAGTAGACACCCTTCTACTCTGGGGGGGAGTGGGGTGGGGTGGGGGTGGGGGAAGTATGTAAGGGTCAGCACTATGACAGCAAGAAGCAATAATATTTACAATCTAAAACTGTAAACAATTTTACATGTATTTTCCTGATGAGTTTCAAAGCAGCTTTTTCTTCCTTTTTTTTTTAGGAAATTTCACTGATTAGTGTCTGGATCTTTGTATGAGCTTTGTCTCCCTTAACTTAGGTCTAGCAGTTTATTTTGCCAAATTATCCTCAAGACCTAGTATCTAGTATTCAGTTCAGTTCAGTTCAGTCACTCAGTCGTGTCCGACTCTTTGCGACCCCATGAATCACAGCACGCCAGGCCTCCCTGTCTATCACAAACTCCCGGAGTTTACTCAAACTCATGCCCATTGAGTCAGTGATGTCATCCAGCTATCTCATCCTCTGTCGTCCCCTTCTCCTCCTGCCCCCAATCACTCCCAGCATCAGGGTCTTTTCCAATGAGTCAACTCTTCGCATGAGGTGGCCAAAGTATTGGAGTTTCAGCTTCAGCATCAGTCCTTCCAATCACTGCAGATGGTGACTGCAGCCATGGAACTAAAAGACGCTTACTCCTTGGAAGGGAACTGATGACCAACCTAGATAGCATATTAAAAAGCAGAGACATTACTTTGCCAACAAAGGTCCATCTGGTCAAGGCTATGGTTTTTCCAGTGGTCATGTATGGATGGGAGAAAGCTGTGAAGAAAGCTGAGCACCGAAAAATTGATGCTTTTGAACTGTGGTGTTGGAGAAGACTCTTGAGAGTCCCTTGGACTGCAAGGAGATCCAACCAGTCCATCCTACAGGAGATCAGTCCTGGGTGTTCATTGGGAGAACTGATGCTGAAGCTGAAACTCCAATACTTTGGCCACCTCATGCGAAGAGTTGACTCATTGGAAAAGACCCTGATGCTGGGAGGGATTGGGGGAAGGAGGAGAAGAGGACGACAGAGGATGAGATGGCTGGATGGCATCACTGACTCGATGGGCATGAGTTTGAGTAAACTCTGGGAGTTTGTGATGGGCAGGTAGGCCTGACGTGCTGCGATTCATGGGGTCGCAAAGAGTCGGACATGACTGAACGACTGAATTGAACTGAACTGAACTGAACTGAACTGCAGGCCATACTAGGCAACCACCCACCATTGGTTCACCTGGCCCTCAAGATCCAGAAATGCCCAGCCCACCCCACCCTGACCCCAGCCCCACCTTCATCCCTCCAGTGGTGCCTTGTGCTCCAGCATCAAGGACCCCTTCCCTGTGCGGCTGCTTCCCATACAGGGAAACCCTGTGGTTCATGCTCTGCCCACCCTTTGGCCTTGATCAAACATTGCTGCTTCTTGAAAGAGCTTTCTCATTCTTTTAATTGGATACAGCTGCTTCCTCATTTTTCTTTGCATGGCCCTTTATTCTTCACTCTCTAATGCATGTATCTTTTGTCTCCTGGTATTGTAATTATTTGGGTTCATATCCTATCTTCTGCCTACATGATGATCCCCTCTATCACAATGAGTACAAGACCTGTTATCTTTGTGCTGTTAAAAATATTGATTCAACTGATGATTATTTTTAGTGATTGCCCAACTCTTCTCTCAGGGGCACCCTTGACCCAGGATGGCACTTCAGTCTCTGGATCTTTCTTTGGCCAACTTTGCAGGATTCTGCCCTCATCAAGAGGCCATTCAATCAGTGAATAAACTAATAAGCAGTCACGGTGTAATGCAGGGGTTCTCTGATATGACTACCCAGATCTTCAGGCTGAAGCAGAGATTCCCAACCTCTGTAGCCCCTTCTTCATCATTATGTATAACCCAGTGATGTCCCATGACTCCAAAGATGAACATTGCTGTTTTCAAGTCTGATGCCTATCTTTTGAAAAACTTTAATTAGGAAATTTTCAGAAATGCAAACTTTGTAAGCCCCAGAGGAAAGGTCTTCTGATGATGGGATTTTAGGTACAGGTGGAAGAGAAACTTTTGGGCATGAGACTAGATCTAGGTTTCCTAAAAACCCACACTATATGAGTTATTGTTAACTTCACCTCCTCAGGGTTGTTAAGAAAGTAGCAACAGGTACAAATATTAAAGTCACAAAGTGACTCCGGCCCATTTAACCTTGAAGTGTGGAATAGAAATCAGGGCTCACTTTCACCTGGTCCTCCTAAGCATTTGAATATAAATTAAATCAAGTGTCTCTAAAATCAAAGCCATTTTTCCTTTGAGAAGAGTATAGTCCACACAGAAGTGCTAAAAAAGAAATCCCCCATTGTCTTTTCATTATTTTCCAGCATAATGTTTAAATGATGGGTGAACCCTCAAAAGGAGAGTTGCTCTCATACACGAGGCAGTTTCAACTGCTTGGGCCTGTGTTGCCTTGTTCAGTATCCATTCTAATCCACACTGAAATGGGAAATGGAGTGTTGGCAGGATGGGGAGGGATGGAGAAGCCCTGGGACCCGGGGTCTTGTGAGTGTTCCATTCCTGGATGTCTGCACAGTGTGGGGTCCCAGCATTCACTCTGCCACTTGCTCTGACTCAGGTTCGCTTTCCACATCCTTTTCCGTTTCTGCCACCATGATGAAGATCAAAGAGGGGTTAGGAGGTGCAGAGAAAGGAAGCAGAGAGAAGGGAGAGAAAGAAGAGAAAGAAAAATTAGCAAGCCAAGCAGAAACGGTTTATGCAGGAAATACAGAAATCGCTCCACCAGAATTAAGAATGCATAGTGCAGGTACAGTCAGTGTGAAGGACAGCTTGGGATTGTGGGCTGTGTACCATTCTGAGAATTCGCACAGTCATAAGTCCTGGCTTGGCTTGCGGCAAGGCTAACATTCTGCTCCCTAAGCAAGCTTTGCATTCATCTGTTCCAAACCCTCATTTGACAGATGGCATCGGAGCAGAGCAAGACTTGTTTGGAGTCACCGCAGCAGGTGGAGGCAGGGCCAGGACCACAACCCATAATTCCCACTTCCTGTTCCCGTGCAAGTTTCTTCCCTGCACACCTACACTTCCTGTCTGCTCGCAACCCCTTTTCCTGGGGACTCTCAACTTCTCAGTCTTTTTTGCCTTTGCACCTCTTCTAGGACCTGGCACATGCCTGGAACAAAAGTGCTCAATAAATACCAACTCAGTGAACAAGCAGAGATGCCGGTGTGTCTGAGAGCGGAGTCTACTAGTCCTGGTGGGAGAACCAGACCATATTAGGAAGGAAAAAATTCCTCTTTTCCTGATACTTTTGTATATTAATATGTCACATAAAAGTACCATCAAACACATGAGTTGCCCTACTCTAGCAACACTTCTGTTACAATAAAAAGTGTGTCTCATTAGGGAAAAAAATTATTACCAAAATTTCCAAAAGCGTGAAAGAGAGACCAAAACCTCTTCTTACAAAGGTGGTTGGATGGGGGAGATGAACAAGCTTTTATTGAGTTTTTACTTACTCCTGGTGCACTTTAGGTATGATGTGTACATTAACTCAGTTGTTGCGCTCAGTTGCTCAGTCATGTCCGACACCTTTCGACCCCATTGACTGTTGCCTGCCAGGCTCCTCTTGTCCATGGGATCATCCAGGCAAGAATACTGGAGTGGGTTGCCATTTCCTCCTCCAGGGGAACTTCCCGACCCAGGGATTGAACCCGAATCTCAGTTAGTCCTCAGCATGATCAACAATGCTGGAAACTGAGGCCAAATGAGGACGAGCCAGTGGTTCAGGGATGCTGAACTGGTCGAGTCTGGATTGGAATCTAGAACTTGTCTCCAAAGCAACATCCTGTCCTTTCTACCCCTCGTCCTCCGTCTCCTTCAGAATGCTCGCTTGCCTTGTCCTGCAGAGTGCTTCACAAAGGCCTCAGTCGCAGCACCACACAGGAGCCACCTGCTGGAGGCGGTGGCCAAGTGTCTGCTGGCATTTGAGTTCTTTAACGTCTGGACCTTGTCTTTTCCGACTTCTGCATAGGCAGCCAGTAAACATCTGTTGAAACTTTTTGTTGGAGTCATAAAATGCCCCTCTTTCTTACACTGGGCTCTGACTCCAGCCACAATGTCACATTAATAAGAAAATTTAAAATAAGCTCCAAAATTATGCCTGGGATTTGCCTCAAGGGAGCCCCCTGAGAGTGTCTCCTTGAGAGTGCATCCACCTGCTTACTGGACCCGAGTCGTTTAGGACAAGGGAAGGGGATAGCACTTCAAAGTTTATATAGGGTCATGAAATGGGGCTGGGGCTGGGTGAGGACCCACTCTAGTTCCTGACGTCTCACCTCTCCATTCAAAAATAAATCCTCCTCCCCTCCTTCCCTTCTTCTCTTTCATTTTCTGTCACTATGCCTCCTCCATCACTGTTACCAGAGATGTCCTCTAAAACTGTGGTCCTTATAAGTCCTGAATTGAAATCACCTGGGTAGCGGGAGAGGGCGTGGTGGCTGTCAGTTTGTATTTTTACAAAACTTACTGGAGGATTTATGTGGATTGCATTATTTCAGAACCACTGGGATATATTCTGGAATATTAAGGCTAGTCCAAATCTTTTTATAGCTGAGGTGAAGGATCTTTTCCATGATCACAGCATGGGTTAGGAGCAGAGCCAAGGCAAGAACTCTGGGTTCCAAGAACCTGTGCAGAGCTGAGTCCCCTGCTTCGCGAAGGCCCATTGTGCTGACCTCACCATCTTCCCTTCACAGCCATTCCAGGAGACAGTGGACACGGCTGATCGCCACATAAAGACTGTCAAGGTCACCAGCGCCAAAATAGTGTCCTATATTAGCAAATGCCAGAGTTAGTTTCAAACGTGGAGACAAGCTATTCCTCTAGCAACTTTGGCAACCTGCCTGCAGGCAGAGGTAAAATTAGTATTTAGAAAGCAAACTGGGACTCACAAGCAGTGTCTTTTGAAATCCTAACACCTTATTGCTGAAAGGAACATTTGAGAGCTTTTCATAGAACCACACTGTGTCTGTAAAATTCCTGCCCCAATCCTCTCAGGGTGAGCTTGCCAGGCTCCCCCGACCCCGTGTGGGCTCTGCTCACATCCCCCCAGTGCTGGGGGGCTCATGACCCTTGTCACCAGCCAGTAGTGTTTTCTTACTTTTACAGGTGGGAATCCTGTTGCTCCACGTGCCGTCCTTCAGACACTCCATCTGGAATGTGTCCATCTCCACGTTATCCTAGGAAGAAACACGAAGAAGGTGAGGAAAGGAGGAGGGGGTGGGTTGGTGGCTGTTTCCCAGTGTAACCAGTGGGTTGGGGGCTGGGCAGCTGCCTGCGAAGGGACACCTATACCAGTGACTCCTTCTTCAGAGCTGTGGCTCTCAAACCTCACTCAGTGAGCATCAGTGTCCCAGGGCCCCCTCCCAGAGTTTCTGAATCAGCGGCTCTGGCCTGGGGACCAAGACCTTGCATTTCTAACTAGTGACGTGCTGGTGTGGGGGGGTACTGCACTTGGATTATCATTCCATGAGAACAGCAGTCCACTAGCTTGGCTTACACTGGACTCACCTGGGCAACTTAACAGACAAAATGCTCATGGGTCCAGCCCCAGGGATTCTGTTTTAATTGATCTCAGGTGGGGCCTGGAAGGTGGATTTGTTAAGCTAACCAGAGGATTCCTAGGAGAACCACTGTTTCAGAGAATGAGCAATGCTTACCTACCCACCTTTAAAAGCTCAGCTTCTGTCCCAGGGCTACCCGGTAAGCCTGATGAACTTTGTTAAGGCTGTTTTTACTGACTATCGGGCTGAATGGATATTTTGCTCTGACTTTTGTGCCACTTTCAGGAGGGAGAGTCTGGGACACACGCTTTGAATTTTCAGAAGGCTGGAATTTTTGGTGCATTGTGGGGAAGCTCGGAAATACCGTGGTGGACTAGGACAAGCTCTGGAAGCCCTTCTGCCCTGGGAGGCTCTGGGGAATTTCTCCAGCCTGGAGACCCACCCCTCCTCTGGCAGAACCCTGTACCTTCAGCACTTTGTAGCCTGTGTTACAGCTGATGAGCACCTGGTCTTTGAATGAATACGTGGTTTGCAAGGGTTCGATTTTCCCATGGACAGGAGGCTGCAGCTTGGGGCACTCATTCCCTGGTGGGGAGCAATGAAAGGGGTAGGTGAGAAAACAAAGGAAAGTGTGGTCATGAAAAGCCATCCCCTAGAATTGAAGGCCTGATGGAGGTGGAAAAAAACACGTGAAACCCACACCCCCAGGGTATGGGAGTCTAGACCTACCAGGCCCTGAAGAAGGCTTACTTTGGACGCTTGAGCAGGTCACTTTCCAACGTGGACCTTTATTTCCTCATCTGTAAAATGAGGTGGTTTGCCAGATGATCTCATCAAAACTCAGGGTAGGAAAAGGTATTAAGTGTCTGAGTGTAACTCTTGTTTATGTTCCCTTTCCATCTTCCACAGTAGCCCTGTGGGACATACCTTCAGGGACAAGGAGCTCAATACCTACCACTGTGTACCTTTCATACTAGACTCCTCCGATGACAGGAACAGAATTTTCATACTCAGCTGAAATTTACACCCTTGAAATTTTTACTCAGTGGGAGTAGTTGGCTCTTTTGGGCCACTCATGATGACCCCACTCTTTCTTCCCAAGATCATTCTTCTCAGTGCTAGAGAGACTGTGATTTGCACTTCAAAAGGCTAAATTGGATAGAATTCCTATGCCTGACGTATTTCCTGGATAAACTCTCCCTCATTAATATCCTCTTCCTGCCTCTCCCCACAAGCAGGCACTGAGGCTGGTGATGAGCCAAGGCCAGGATATAGCGTCTTTGCACTGTATTAGTCACACCCAGCTGTGGTCCTTGCACTGCCCCTCTTCCTCCGGTTACTTCAGGTCCCTTGGGTCAAGTAACTCCAGCAGTGTTTGGACCAGGACCGGGTGCCTCAAGGTATTAGGCGATGAGACCTATGGGCTTTGTCACTCTTTGTCACAAGGAGGCAAACCACCTGATGAAACATTTTGTGCTAGAGGCTAACACCCAAATTTCTGCCCCAGACTTTGGAAGGCCTGGGGCTGGAAGGATCCTCTCCAGGCCTAGTCAATCAGTGTGAAGTTCTGGAAACTTGTTTTTTTTTTAATTATAGTTTTTTTTTAATTTTTTAATTAACTTATTTATTAATTTACTTTACAATATTGTATTGGTTTTGCCATACATTGACATGAATCAGCCATGGGTGTACATGTGTTCCCCATTCTGAACCCCCCTCCCACCTCCCACCCCATCCCATCCCTCTGGGTCATCCCAGTGCACCAGCCCTGAGCACCCTGTCTCATGCATCGAACCTGGACTGGCAATTCATTTCACTTATGATAATTTACATGTTTCAATGCCATTCTCCCACATCATCCCACCCTTGCCCTCTCCCACAGAATTCCAAAAGACAGTTCAATACATCTGTGTCTCTTTTGCTGTCTTGCATACAGGGTTATCATTACCATCTTTCTAAATTCCATATATATGTGTTAATATACTGTATTGGTGTTTTTCTTTCTGGCTTACTTCACTCTGTATAATAGGCTCCAGTTTCATCCACCTCATTAGAACTGATTCAAATGTATTCTTTTTAATGGCTGAGTAATATTTCATTGTGTATATGTACTACAGCTTTCTTATCCATTCATCTGCTGATGGACATCTAGGTTGCTTCCATGTCCTGGCTTTTTTTTTAATTATAGTTTTAAAAAAATTATTTATTTTATTGGAGCCTAATTGCTTTACAATGTTGTATTGATTCTTGTTGTACAACAAAGTGAATCAGCTATATGTATACATTTATCCCCTCCCTTTTGGACCTACCTCCACCCCTCTCCCCCATCCTATCTATCTAGGTCACCACATAGCACCAAGTTGAGCTTTCTGTGCTTTATAGCAGGTTCCCATGAACTATCTATTTTAGATATGGTAGTACATATATGTCAATCCTAATCTCCCAATTTGTTCCACCCTCCCCTTTCCCCCACCCCGTGTCTGCAGGTCTATCCTCTTATGTCAGCTTCTCTATTCCTGCCCTGGAAATATGTTCATCTGTACCATTTTCCCTGGGGCATATACTCTGAGAAAACCATAATTCAAAATGACATGTGTGCCCCAGTGTTCACTGCAGCACTATTTATAATAGCAAGACATGGAAACACCCTAAATGTGCATTGACAGATGAATGGAGAAATGAGATGTGATACATACATACAATGGAATATTACTCAGCCATAAAAAAGAACAAAATTTGGTCATTTGTGAGATGTGGATGGACCTAAAATCTGTCATACAGAGTGAAGTAAGTCAGAAAGAGAAAAACAAGTATCATATACTAATGCATATATGCTTTTTGTTTTTAAAAATCTCCCCACATGATTCTGAAGTGCAGCCAGTTTTGAAAATGTCTTATCCAAAACCATCATTGCTGCCCTTTACCCCATTTGTAGATGAGAAAGTAGTCAGCAGAGAGAATCTGTCTCGGTCCCAAGCTGCTCAGTGGCAGGGTTGGGAGTCCTGCCACATTCCTGGAGGAGCCCCAGGCCAGCACCCCTCACACTCCCTGGCTGCTACGCCCTGAGGGCTGAGCATGGCCGGCAGGTTGACCCAGGAGGGGAGAGGCTGTGTTACCTGTTGCCCTGTACGACAGCCTCCAGCCCCGGTTCTCCCCCGAGTTGTCGCTGCGGAATAGGATCTGTACGCTGTGGCTCTGGGTATTGATGGGTTCTGGGGCTTTCTCTCCACAGAAGGGCCCCAGAACTTTTGGACCGGCTTTAATCTGTCAGAGGTGAGATAGGAAAAAAGCAGGGTCACACCTGAGTGGCAGTGACTGCTTCTGGGATCATCGCTACTCTGCACCCTGGGTTTTCTGGAAGCTTCCATGTGAGTCCATAGTGTTCACTCACATTCTTAGTGGGCATTACCATTCACCAAAGGGTTCCATCTCCACTCTCCCATTCACAAATTACAATGACCTTGGAAGTGGACAAGGCAGGTTGAGTATCCTTGTCTCAGAGATAAACATATTATGGTTCAGAGAGGGGCAGAGCCCTGTCCAGATGCACAGGACAGAAAAGGCCCCTGCTCGCAAGGACTCTGCAGTCTAGTCAGGGCAGACTAATAGATTAAAAAAAAAAAATTACCAGCTGTGGTAAGTATCACAAAAATAATCAGGATGATATGCATATACATATATAATATAAAAGTATGCTCTGTTTATAATTTAAGTAGTAAAATCTATGTAGTCTATGTAATTCATCATTAATATAATAGATGTTGTTTAGTTGCTAAGTCATGTTCAACTCTTTTGTGACCCCATGCACTGCCGCCCATCAGGCTCCTCTGTCCATGGAATTTTCCAGGCAAGAATACTGGAGTGGGTTGCCATTTCCTTCTCTAGGGGATTTTCCCTACCCAGGGATCAAACCCCTGTCTCCTGAATTGTAGGTGGATTCTTTACCACTGTACGACCAGGGAAGCTTCAGTATAACAGATAATAACTTTAAATAGGTAGTTAGAAAAGGCCTCTTCATAGAGGTAATGTTGGATTTGAAACCTGTAGGATGAGTAGGAGCTTGTCATTTGGAGAGGAGGGGAGGATAGTTTCCAGGCAGGGAAAGCAATGTATATAAAGGTTGAGGCCAAAAGTAGGAAAGAGCCTGGTAAGAATCAAGAGCAGGAAGGAAGCCAGTGAGGCTGGAAGAGAGCGAATGCTTTGGCTTGAGGATGGGACGGCAGCCATGGGCCATACTGTGTTGAGGAATTCATGTTTATTCCAAGCACAATCTTGATATAACCTGGCTTTTATAAAATTTACCCTGGATGCTAGAAAAGAACGTATCACGCACAGCAAGAGTGGATGGCAGAAAACCCTCCAGGTAGCTTTGCAGCTGACCAGAGAGAGCAGGGTTTCAACTCAGGTAGAGGCAGCGGAGATGGAGAGAAGGAAGAGGCACTTTGGACTTGTCCAGATTTCCAGCCCCCAGGCCTGGGTCCTGCCTCTGCTTTAACTCTTTCTCCTTCCTCCTCTGAGGACCAGTACATCTTAACTCTCATTTGATGACTTCTATAATCCTGGGTGCATCTTCATCTTGTCACCCTTATTGTGTTGAGGGGGGGGGGACAGTGAATACCCTAGAGGTTACCTGCCTAAGGATAAGCTCATAACATAGCTCCTGGGATATAATGTATGGTAGACAGAGTTCTGGGCCTTCCTTGTGGCTCAGATGGTAAAGAGTCTGCCTGCAATGTGGAAGACCCGGGTTCCATCCCTGGGTTGAAAAGATCTCCTGGAGGTGGAAACCCACTCCAGTAATCTTGCCTGGAAAAATTCCATGGATAGAGGAGCCTGGTGGACTACAGTCCACCAGAGTCAGACACGACTAAGTGACTAACACACACAGACAGAGTTCTAAGATGGTCCCCATGATCTTCACCCTGGTGTCACTTCATGATGATGTTATGTTACCTGGCAGAAGGGATTTTGCAGGTGGGGCAAAGGGCTGGTTTGGGATCAGGGAAGTTCCCTAGACTGGGTCCAATTAAGATGGTAGATGTTATTTTAAATAATTACTTTTTAGGAAACCACCTGCTTGGCCCCCTATCCTGGAAGAAGGTAGAGAATGTCAATTTTCCCAATTGAGCCAAGATTTGTCAGCATCTTCGGGGCCTATGACCACTGTTGTCTTACCTTGATGTAGTCATAGGGGCAGGACACCTCAGGATGGTCCTCAATGTCGAAAATGTCCTCAAACTGCAGGCTGATCATGAAACCCTCCTCTAGCTCAATGGTGTAGAGGCATTCAGAGCTCTTGGGGTAAGGGTTGGGGAAGTCAGGGCTGGTGATCACGCCAGTCCGCTGGGTGAAGAGGTTGTCACTGCACTCCACTGCGGGAAACACATGGGAGCAAAGTGGTACACCACGCTCATGGCCACAGCCTCCCCCTTCTTATCTGCTATGGTACAATTTTCGCAGTGGTTCTGAGAGGCAAGTGGGGGAAGGAGTCACTATCCCCATTTTACAAATGGGGAAACTGAAGTTCAGTAAGGGGAAGAGATTTACTCAAGGTCACACAACCAAGTAATTTGCAGGGTTAAGACTCAAAGGCAGTGAGTGTGATATGCCTTTTTGTCCAATTCTCCGATCTTGGTGTGGGGCATGACGGGTCTCAGATGAAAGGTTTTGAGATGTGTGGTCAGGGGGAGCATCTTCTCCTCTTTTGTGCTGCTCTCAAGACTCCATGATATCTCTGCTCAAAGCCATCCTTGATCCCTCATTAACACAAGACCATCACACATACCCTTGCTCTCTGGCCCCTGGCCTTGCTTTGTTTCTCTTCATGCTACTGACCACTGCTTGCCATTGTGAAATGTATTTCTCAGTGGATTTTCCTGCCCCTACAAAACTCCTAAGTTCCCTGAGCTCAGGGAGTCCACTCTGTTCCCCATCCCAGCTGCAACCCAGCAACCAGTGTCTTGGATCCTGGCCATGGCTTAACCCTGCAAAGGCCCTGTTATATGCCACTGAACCATTGTCCTTGGATCTGGCATGTCAGTTTTTTCTGGTTGTTTGTAAATGAGAAAACTGTGGCCCAGAAAGGGGGCATAGCTAACCCTAAAGTCTCTCAGTTACAAGCTACAGAACAAGATTTAGAGTGGTCTCTGAATCCTTGTGCTTTAATATTCTACCCCAAGCATTTTCATGGGGATGACATTGCTCCCAGAGGGGCCAAAATTGGTTCTTAGAGAGGGGAAGTTGTTACTCTTTTTATGCATAACACACAGGCAGACATATGGTACATAAACATATATACAGGGTATTTGTGGTATTAAATTTCCTGGGTGAGACAATTAGGAAGAGAATGTTTAAAACGGCTCTTGTAGGGGGTGGGCAGAAGCAAAAATGAAAAACAGGATTCAGAAACATTGCTCAGTCTTAGCCCCTCTGTGCTCAGCACATGGTGGATACTCAATACTTACTGAATGAAAACCATGGAAAATACAACCCTCTTCAAGAAAACTCCTGTATGTGCCTGCTTTATACTGATGGGTTTTATTTGGAAGTAGAAGATTTTGAAGGAGGAAGGAAAAGAAATCCTGTTTCTAGCACACCCTCCCCCAAAGCTCCCTCACTCAGCTTCCAAGAGGTCTTTCTAGGACCCATACCGTTACCCCGCAGTCATACGGATCTACTGGCAATTCCCCAAACATTCCGAATCCTGTCCCGCTTCTGAAGGTTTGCAGAAGCTCTGCTCTCTGCCTGTCGTGCCCTCCTTTTCCTTGTCCTTTTTCCTTCATCAAGGGCATCATCTCTGGGAAGTGCTTGCTCACTTGGTGCAGACTCAGGTCTGACGGTGCCACACCCACACTTCGTTTACAACACTTTTACTACATTTTATCATTTGCCTATGCGGCTATTACCCGCTAGACAGGAGCTCCTCGTGGAAATGTCTGAGTCCTCCTATTTCTCCCTCCCCTCCTCAGCCTGGATACTATGGCAGAGAAGGCATGTGGATGAGAGGGGAAAGCATAGGGAGCAAGAAGGAAAGGGATGTTTTCTTGCTGTCTTATCTTTGCCTCTCTCCCCTTCTCTCACTTTCACTGGGGTTCTCTCTATCACAATATAAAAGTGAGAGGCCAGGGAAGAGCAGAAAAAAAGGAGCTGATGGGTAAAATCTAGTTCAGGGTTCAGGACTGGGAAAGCTGGGTTTTCCCTTGACTCGGCCTGTTACTTACAGGAGGAGAGGAAATAGGGACTAAAGAGCAGAAAGCCTTGCTCCCCAGGAAGAAAGATGGTCCAGAGGCCAGGGCTTCTCAAATGCAGTTCTCTGAGAATCTGAACCTGACTTCCAGGCTGGTGGGCATTTGAGCATCTTTATCCTTGTGATCTGGTTTCATTTTTAATTGTTCCTACTGCCTGCCGGTCCTTCCTCTGAGCCTCCCCTCATCTTACTGGGAAGTATGACTGCTCACAGTGATGCACAGCGTCGGTGATGGGCCCCACCTCGGCACGTCCTGTTGTCTGTGTGGAGGATGTATCCGAAGCGACAGGAGCAGTAGTAGCCGCCGATGTAGTTGTGGCAGTAGTGGTCACAGGACAGCTCCTCATCCTCCCGCTCCGTGCACTCGTCCACGTCTGCAGGGCAGGTAGAGCCTCTCACAACCCATTCAAGCGCGATGGTGAGGAGAACAGCCAACATTCACAGGGCACTCGCTGGGGCCACTCACTGTGTTGGGAGATACCTGCATTCTCTCATGGAAGCCTCCCCTAAGCCTCCAATGACAAATGAGGAAACTTGCCCAAGGTCACAGACAGCCTGGTCAGACCTGGGCAACCTGACTCCTGGTGGTGCCGCTGTTCTCTGACACTTGTGATGACAGCAAGCAGGACAGTTATGATCCCCTTTTTATAGATGAAGCGACTGAGACTTAGAGCCATTAAAGAACTTACTCCACGTCACACAGATAGTAAGTGGAGTCCTCTTTCAAATCAAGGTGGGCTGGCTCTAAAATCTGGGTTTTTAACCTCTTGTCCATGTTGCTTCTCTCTTTCTAAGTCTCTAAGGTGGGTCAAGCCCTATCTTAGGCATTGGAAATATAAAGATAAAGAGATGTGTGTTCTCAACCCAATTTGAACACACATTTCTTCTCAAAAGACACAGGAATGGCCAAGAAGCTTACACATGAAAAGATATTCAGCATCACTAGGTGCCAGAAAAATGGAAATTAAAACCACAATGAAGTACCACTACATGTCCTCTGGAATGGTTAAAATTTTTTTTTTAATTGATGACATCAAATGTTGGTGAGGATATAGAGCAGCCAGAACTCTCATACATTGGTGGAGGGATACAAAATGGTGCAAACACTGTGGAAAAATCTGACAATTTCTTATAGAACTAAACATACACCTACACTATGATTAAGCAATTTTGTCCCTAGATATTAATATATACCCCACAGAAGTGAAACATATGAAAACATATGTTTACAAAATGGCTTGTACAAAAAGGTTTGTGGAAATTTTATTAATGAGAGCTAAAAAATGGATAGAACCAAGGTGTCTGTCAATAGGAGAATGGATAAATAGATTGTAGTATATTTATATAATGGAAAATTACTCTGCCAGGAAAAGAAACAGTTACTAATGAATTGGAACAACATAAATAAATATCAAAGACTTTATGCTGAGTAAACTATTTCTCATCTCCAAAATATAATCTGTATGTGTTCATTTATGTGAGGTTTTGCAAGAGGCAAAACTAATCTATGGTGGTGTAAAAAATCAGGACTGTTGTGGTGACCTCTAAGGAGTTAGGAGTGTGGTGTAATTGGAAAGGAGCATAAAGGAACTTTGGGGGTTAAGGGTAAAGCTCAACATCTTGTTAGGGATTTAGTTACAAATATAAATTTTTCAAAGCTTAACAATTGTACTTAAGATTTATGCATTTCATTGAATATATAGATTTTACATGAAAAGAAAAAATGTGAATAGCTGTTGAACCCTAGATAAACAATATGCATGCTAAAGTATTTAGGAAGAAGAGTACTGATGTCTGCAATTTATTTTGAAATGTGTCAAAAAAGATGAATTGATGGATAGAGGATAGAAAGATGGACAGATGTGCGATAGACCAAATGCAGTAAGACATTAACGGTAGAATTTATGTAGTAGGTGTTCATTAAAGAAGAGAGCACAAGGCACTTTTATTTTGAGACGTGACTCATCCCCACGTCTCCAACTTACCCACAGCCATGTAGTGGGCATCAAATCCTGTGAATCGCTCTTCATCGGAGAAATCTGACCGGAAAGTGATGGACATAAAGGAGCCGGGGGAGAGGACCACTTCCTGGCCAGGGGTTTGTTCTGTGTCTGTGGTCTCCCTGCCACAGAAGGTTGCCAACACCTGGTCTTCAGTTTCTACCTTTAGGGTCAAGAAGAAAGGGAATAAGATGTGCAGCTTCCCAAATTAGCTTCTCTGCTAGTCTCAAGGAGAAAAGACAGAGGAGCTTCCCACAAGTGGACCAGGCAGCCTGGGAAGCCCAAAGAAAGAGGCTTAGGAATTCTGGAATTTGAGGAAAGACACCTTACAGGTTAAGCCAATGTGTCTGTCCTCTTCCCGTTTCATTCATTTTGTTTAGGTCCTTCAGCCAATGTGTCTGTCCAGTCCCTGTTTCATTCATTTTGTTTAGGTCCCTAAGCCAATGTGTCTGTCCAGTCCCTGTTTCATTCATTTTGTTTAGGTCCCTAAGCCAATGTGTCTGTCCAGTCCCTGTTTCATTCATTTTGTTTAGGTCCCTAAGCCAATGTGTCTGTCCAGTCCCTGTTTCATTCATTTTGTTTAGATCCATTAGAAGTAGCTTCACGTTAGTCCTGTTGGCAACAAAATGGCTTATTTGTTAAAAAAAAAAATTCAATGTTAAAATAAATTTTCATATTTAATAGAACAGCAGAGTTAGATTTCACAGATGGATTCTAGATACAACAGGAACTTACATTTCCAGGAAAAGAAACTTCATACACAATGTAAGTCATTCATGGAGAAATCAGTGTGTGCCAACCACAGAGCAAAGCATGGGATGGGGATGATGGGAGATGAGTAAGCCATTGAGCTGCGCATGCGGAAGGGCTTCCCAGGCCTCTCAGTAGTAAAGAACCCAACTGGCAAAGCAGGAGACACAGGACACTTGGGTTCGATCCCTGGGTCAGGAGGATCCCCTGGAGTGTGAAATGGCAACCCACTCCAGTATTCTTTGTTTGGAAAATGCCATGGACAGAGGAGCCTGGCAGGCTACAGTTCACGGGGTCGCAAAAAGTCGGACACAACTAAGCGACTGAGCACGCACATGCCCATGCGGAAGCAGTGTTCAGAGGGCAGAAAACAGAGCTATCATACAGTGTGACAAGTGTCTTGTGAAGAATGTACTCAGAAGGAGGCAAAGGATACCCGCTGGAATATAAGCTAAGGGAAGGTGAGACTTTTAGTTAATTAATTATTTTTTATTGGTATATTTGAGCTTTATTTTTAAAATGATACATTATCTATATCAGAATTGGAATTTTTAAAAATGCAAATATGCTTTTTATTATTATTTTTTTTAATTGAAGTATGGTTTATTTACAATGTGTTAGTTTCAGGTGTAAAGTGATTCATTTACACACACACACATATTCTTTTTCAGATTCTTTTCTTTACAGTTATATCTTCAATGCATGGAATAGGACCTAGAATATAGCAGTTATCCAATAAATATTTGTCATCCAGAACTAAAACTGCAAGACCTATTCTGAGAACAATGAGAAGCCTGAAATTCTGTGGGGATTGTAGGAAAAGATATATCTGGAGGGATAGGTTGAAACTAGATTATTATTGACCTGGAATCACATACCAAGTGACTTGAAATCCCATGGACAGAGGAGCCTAGTGGGTTACAGTCCGTGGGGTTGCAAAAGAGTCAGGCACAGCTGAGCGACTAAACAACAAAAAAGGGAAGTCACGTAATCAGAACTGTATGTAATAGGTAGTCTTACTAATACAGAAAACTATTGGAATCACCCCAAAATAGTTGCATTTTTTAAAGACTCAGCTGCAAAAATTGCCTATTTGCTAAAGAATTCCCTATTTTGCAAGAGCCAGGGGCCCTGGGTAGATTTAGAGACCCAAAGAGAGAGTCTAAACTGGTTGTCTAAAGCAGATTTTGTGTGCTTGGTTTGGGAAACAGTGTTGTAGTTGGCTGGTATATTTATATGACTACCATACTTTGCTTACCTAACACTCTATCATTTATACCTATCTTGATCCTTTTAAAGAAGCATTTTTATCTGCATCCTCCAGATCGATGTTTTAGCCAAGATGCATGAGAAAAATCTGACCAAGAATGATGTCTGCTGCCTTTCAGTCTTTAAAGGAAAGTTCTCAAAGGCTGCCTATCTCTAGTAGCTTCTAATGAATTCATTGTTTTGTTCATTAGCTTAGTATGTCAAAAGTATCTTGACATTTGACACTTCTGTTTTGAAACTAATGATTTATTTATTTAAAATAAGTGGGAGCTTTAAAGGAAAATAATTTGCCCTGGCAACAAAACACGAGGACAATTAATCACTAACTTTGGGAACTGAAGTGTAAACAGAAGATGAGATCATGGCTTTGCTATGTTTTTCTCTTCTCTGCAGATACTAGCCAAACTCACACCAGCCTTATTGCTGTAGAGTGTTCCAATCTGTACACAGTTGAAATATCTCTTTCTCGAACATCTCAGCTGCTTTGTTGTTTTGATGATCTGAGTTTTCCAGGTAGCTGAAGTTTTACCTCTGGTTTTTTAAAAAATTGGGGTGTTTGTGTGTAATGCTTTTCAAAGTGCTTTATTCAAATCATTGGTTTCTCAGGTAAAATATACTAATCCTTCTTGGTGATCCAAGGACAGTGTTATGAACATCAAGTTTCTTGGGGATATTGAGTTTTGTAATGTTGCTTGCCCTGCATTGAAAGCCCCCAGACTATAAAGCCTTTGCAATTCTTATGTCTTCTTTATGTAGATTGGGTTTTATTTACTGTTTTAAAATCAGGTAGAAACTCATTAAGCTGCTGTCATTCGAATTTAATGAGAATAAGACTAAATACATAAAGAGTGAGGGTCTGGGAGAAGGCTTCGTCTATGAGTAACAATATGAGCTGGAATGCACTATCTCGGTGACCTCTGCGTTAGAGGTCCTGTTAGAGGTCCTGACCCCTATTTCTGACTCCACCAAAAAGTGGTATATGGCTGACTCCTGTAGCGCTCAATTATCCACCTGGTAAACTAGGGGTTTGAACTAGCTGAGCTCTATGTTCTCTTCCAGTCCTGACATACTAGTGTTCTAACAAGGCATTATATCCATACATTAAATAAACCAACTAGAGCAGGGGTCCCCAACCTCTGGGATCTTATTGCCTGCTGATCTGAGGTGGAGATGATGTAATAATAATAGAAACAAAGTACACTGTAAATGTAATGCACTTGAATCATCCTGAAACCATCTCCCACCCCCAGTCTGTGGAAAAATTATCTTCCACAAAACCAGTCCCTGGTGTCAAAAAAGTTGGGATTTGTTGAACTAGAGAATGGTGAGAAGGAGTTTCAACACAGAGATTGCTTCATACTTAAGAACTTGTTTGTGGTCTATACCATGTGCTCTAGAAGTAATTACTAATGAAGAGTCAAGCCTTGAGCATCAACGCTTCTAGACATAGCAGCCTCATTCCTTCTTTGTTATCCCCGAGGTCTCCAGGGAGACCTGTAGCATGAGACTTTCAAGTGAAACCAACCAGAGATCTTTTGGATCAGGGAGAGACCTAATGAAGGTCTATGATAAACAGCCTCCCTTCTTGTAACTTCCAGGCTTAAGGATACCTAAGTTTATGATGGCAGATAAACAATCCTCACCTGTAGACCCTCACTATTTCAGAGGACAGGTAAGCATGCTCCAGCTGAGACCCATGGGAAACTCTGAGTCTGATAGACCTTTAGAAGCAGGGAAGAGAAGGCCCCAGGGCCCTGGGAATTCAGCCTGCAGCTCCAAATAGAGCCTGGAGGGAGGGACTTTTAAGAGCTGTTTCAATCCCCTCCTTCTAGAGGAAACTGAGGTCCAGAGAAGGGCAGTGACTTACTCAAGAGTAGAGAGATAACCACAAGCATTTCCTGATACCAGATTTGCTTTTGGAACAGTTCTGACCCTGGAGAAAGGAGCCCACCAGTCCAGAGAGTGCAAGGCAAACAACACAGGCACTTTGCCAAACAACTTTTCTGGCTCAAGGGCCTCTTGAAACTTTATCTGGGGTGCATGGACTATCTCCCAGAGAGGATGTGGCTCAGTGACAGCTCTGCGTAACCTAAACAGAGGGGTCACTGGCCCTACTTAATATTTGCAGCCCTTGCTATGACTGTAAAATTCTACAAAACCCAGTGACTTCTGAGTACAGATGGAGGATTGAGCCCTGGCTTCTGTTTGGACTGTCCCTGTATTAGGGTCATTGTATTAACATGATGGGGGGAAATACTTTATCAAAGGAAAACAAAAAATTCATAATAGTAGAAAACCATCTGGCTGGGGATCACAGAATCTTTTATTTTTCTACTTATTATGGGCAGCCATGTCCTTTCAGCCATGTCCTATTGTGATTTTCAGCACTAACATATGGATGCATGTCCTCAATTTGCTTTCTTTCATCTCAACAAATATTTAAATACCAAGTTCTGTCCCCATTATAACATGAAGGATGCCAAAAACTACTAATTTGTTGCATGTGCTTAATAAGCAAGCCCCCTGCCTCTGGGAATATAAAATATAGTAGGAGAATAAGTACTCACATGTGTCTGTGTTAAGGAATTACCAGATTGTAGTTATTGCAATGAAAGCTAGGAAGTTCCTGGGGTTATAAGATGGGAAAATATTGCATCCAGCTGAGAGGGGTCAGAAAACAGGAAGAAGAGAATGGCCTCTGAGCTGGGACCAAAAGTTGAGCAGGATGTAGGCAGGTAGAAATCGTAGGTGGAGGGCTGGGAAGAGGGCAGTAAGGAGGACATCCAGGTAAGTAGCAAAGTTCTGAGGGCATTTGGAGTCTCAGCCGCCCCTCCCTACTCACCCCCACCTGATATAGGAAAGGGGTTCTGTTGAGGACAGGGAGCAGGGAAGAGAGCAGGAAGGAGGGGAAAGCAGAGTCTGCTTTCTATAAGTTGTCTACCTTAGTAGAAACAGCACAAACCTCCTAGGCAAAGCTAAGGCAGGGCAGCAGAAAACTTGGTGAACTTTCTGCAAGAGGGCAGCTATGGCTTCTTTCCATGCGTCCATAAAATGATCTCATCAGAGACTATCAATACATTGACGTCCACCCAGTGGCAAACCTGAAGCTGAGATGATTTCAGTGATTCAATCAAAACCATTATC